CCACATTCCCCTTCCTGAAGGTTCAGTCAATTACAAGGAGTTGGATAATGTTTGTAGAATGCCTTTAAGTGAATTTAAAAATGGCAAAAGATTTACTAGACAACAGAAGAATACATTGGGTAGACTTTGCCACTTACAAATAATAGATGGTATTAAAGAACAAACAATTGGCCATTATGAGTTTCTGCTTATATAATCTTTTATGTCTATCAGATATAAGGGAAATATTAAATCATGTAGAATTAACACCAAGCTGTAGGAGGAGGGCCCACTTGTTTGTCCTGGCTGCTCGACCAGCTTAGCCCGAAAATAACCACACAGAAATTGTATTCATTAAAACACTGCTTCACCCAGTAGCTCTAACTTCTTTTTGGCTAACTCTTATATTAATTTAACCCATTTCTATTAATCTGTATATCACCACGTGGCTGTGGTTTACCCGGTAAATTCCCAGCGTCTGTCTCCTGAGGCTCCATGGCTTCTTCCTAACTGTGCCTCCTTCCTCCCAGCATGCCATTTAGTTTTTCCCACCTACCTAAATTCTATTTTATCCTATCAGGCCAAGCCAGTTTCTTTATTCATTAACCAATGAAAGCAACACATAGACAGAAGGACTGCCCACACCACCAAGCTTGGTTTTAATTCATAAATGAAAATCTTATAATCCATAAAACATTTTTAATCTGAGTTCTCAACCACAGTGAACATCATCCTAGTAATGAAGAACAATTCCAAGAGCCAATTAGGGAGCTTTAATGTTGATCTTCAGTGATGTTTGTCTGCAGGTCACACCTAAATTACAGCCTCACCTAAATTGCCATTTTCAAATATCAGATTTGAAATGACTTTGAGAAAAAGTAAGAAACAGATGTTCCAATGTTTTATCTTGTTTTTATGATAATTGAGGAAAAAATTTTGTTTTACATACAAGTATAATTTTCAAGGTTCTTAAATAACTTATGAAGATTATTAAGTATAATAAAATATTATTACAAATAATAAAACATAAAATATATTTAACACCATAATTCTTAATTTGGTTGTGAATCCATCTGAAATTGTATGCCTCTCAGACTTTACTCTAGTTTTTGTAACCTCACTATACAGCATTATTGTGAATGTATGTAGGCTTTTTAAAATTATTTTTATTTATGTATATAGTTATGTAAAATTTTATGTTTGTGGCCTTTTGTCTGCATGCATTCATATGTACTGTGTAAATGCATGACCAGAGGCTACAAAAATGGGCAAGAACACCTGCATCTTGGGAATTGGTAAATTGGTTTATCAAGTAGTATACTTCTCACCAAAGCTAAGGACTTTAGTTTAAGTCACAGTATTCATGTTGGTGGAAGGAAAGAACTAACTCCCTCACGTTGTCCTCTGATCCCAATGGTAGCACTATCTTGTGAACACAACACACATATGCACATACAAATATACGCACATGCACACACACACTAAATCAAAATCTAATAAAGACTTGTAATGTACAAAAACAATAACTGCATCTGCTGAACATGGATGTTGAGAGTGGCAAAATGTCATGGATAAAACTACTGTGCACATTTTTGTACACACTGTTTGTCAGAAAATGGCTGACATTTTCCTGGATAATAATTGTGGCACAGACTATTCAGTGGCAGTAAGAAAATCTTTTTAAATTTAGAGTCTATTATGGGACTGTTTTGTAAATTAGGAGAGCAGTTTCACACTGTACACAGATCTGTGTAATATCTGGATATTCCTTGCCAACAGTAGGCATTGTCACAACTATTTTATCTGATTGTAATAGAGATGTGCATAGAGTGTATTTTTTTAAAATTTCATTAACTATTAGTGACAATGAATATTTAATATTTTCTGTTGATTTTTTTGTATCACTTTTTGTAAGCTCTATTACCTTAAATGCTAATCATTGTAATCACTATATGTGCAAAACACATTCCTGAGTAGAAAGTGAATTATGAAAAATAAAAAATGTTTTAAATCTAAAATTTATCTTCTTAGTTCAACAAAATAAGTCTGAAGAAACTTGGAGATAACCTAAAACAGTTGAGGTTGAAATATCTGAAAGAAAATATTAAAGAAATTGTTTAATGTCTAAAAATAACTAGCTTTCTTATAAAGAAAATATATGAACACATTTACCAATTAAAGACAAAGCTAAGCAAAACCTGCAACTCTAAAAGTGATTAATTTAAGAGTTGTTAAAATTGAATGTTTTTGAAGAAAATGAAATTTCCATACCAAGGTAAAATCAAAACACATAAAATGTCTTAACAAGTAATAATTTAAGTTAGCAGAGCATAATATTAGAGCCTGGATTTCCTCAGTATATTGTTGCTTTTCATGCTATGATAATTCACAAGTAATGACTGCTTTAATATTTGGTAGACTATTAGTAACAGCCACACTCAAGAATTACTTGCTTTCTTATTGATTTACCACATCTAGTTGTTTATTGTGAAGGTACCATTTACTTTATACAATTATTAGCTCAAGACATAAAAAAATAACAAAAAAAAGCATGACTGGTAAATGATTGGACGTGAGTAAGAAGACAGCTGCTTTGACATTGTATCTCACCATTTAACCATGGATTCAGACACCACCAAGAATCAGTTCAGAAGCAATGGATATCCAGTTGTAGATTTGTCTACTTAGTTGATAACATTATGGCATAAATAGATGTTATTTAAATTTAATAATATTAAATAGCAAATACCATCTCTGGGGTGTGACACTACTATCGCATTCCATTCTGGAACTCTGGTTGCCTGCACTGGGCGTACACAAGACTGACTCAGACAACAATCTGTTCTGGGTAGCAGAGCTGCAACAGAAGCTTAGCCCTCAGTGCTGAGTTCATGGCTACTGAAAATGTCTGAGTGAGAAGCAGATATTGTCTTTAATTTTGTACTCGTCGGTAAGCTCTCCAAATCCAATTGGACAATTCAGAACCACAGCCATACAGATGGCTTTGGATAAACTTAATGTACATAGAACAAAACAACAACACAAGAATGTGGGAGAATTAATTCTATAGATGACAGGGAGTAGATAGAGACAGAAGAAAAGAACAACTAAAGCATAAATTTACATGTATGAAAATGAAAAATACCAAGCTCAATTAATAAAAATGTGAAATAACTATTTGGAAATACCGGTTTTCATACACACACACACACACACACACACACACACACACACAATGTCTGAAAAGAAGAGCTCTGCCCATTCCAGGGAGAGTTTGGGATATTTAATCCTTTAATTTCAGGAAGGGTTTCTTTCAGATTGTCAGTCACTGTTACTTCTTGACACAGACTCTAAGTATTAAGATTTGTAAGTGCCAATATCGTTTTTTTATTTAATTTAAAAGATTTTTGCTAATTTAAAACATGATTTCATTTCTATTCACATCTCTGCCCACAAATTTCTCTTTAACATTTATCACACACACACACACATAAATATGCCCACAAACACATACACATATACATCATACATGTACATACATATACAAATACATGTATGTATGCATATGTCCATACATATACACAAATCCACTGAGATCATTCAGCATTGTTTATGTGCATTTAGGAATAAACACTTGGGTTTATATAACTTCTAGGAGGTTCAACCCTTTACAAAACTGATTCTGCCTCTCTCACCAGTCATTGATTCTTTATCTACGCAGAAAAGCCTGATACTCTTTTTCACATCTGCTTGGCATGTCAACTGATGTTGTGCTGTTATTGTTTAGGCAAAAAGTTAGAGATATTTTGGGTGTAACTTCCCTGCCACACATGACACTTTTTTAGAGTAGACTTCCTGGTCTTCCAGTTCTTATAATCTTCTCATCTCTGTCTTGTTTTGTTCCCTGAGTCTTAGGGGTAGATGTCATATTATAAACACATCGGGGATGGGAACCTTATAGCTAATTATCTGCATTTTAATATGTTATGATGTTCTCTAATGGTCTCCATCTGCTACAGAAAGAAGTATCTTTGATGTGAAAAGTGAGTTAAATATGCCTGTAGTTGCAAGAATAAGTACTTTAAATACATTTAAAAATATACTGGGTTAATAAAATAGAATTAGCAGCGTATTAGGTTCTCCTCTAGGGTCTATGACTACATGAGGCATGAGAACTGGGCTAAATTACACTATCTAGCCTGTTTTTCTATAGCTCTTAAGTCCAATTGGATATCTGTTGATTACCACCATGATTTCAGTGCCATTGTTGCACTCTTGAGGACATCTTGCCATGCTTGCAATTGTTATGGAGCAAACATCTGAAGTTGGTTGGGACTATTGCTTGTTTTTCTCCATTGGCAGCATCCATAACACCTTAGGATATTTTGAGATGTTGTACTCAGGGAGGAGATGGAAGCTTTAAGTTCATTGCTGTGAACTCACTAAAATGTTTAAACTTCTCAGAGTTATGTAGTAAATAATTATTATAGGCCAGCTGGTTTGTGACTGAAAAAGCAAGGGATAAAACCGGACTCTCTAACATGGCAGACAATGAGGACTGATGAGAAGCCAAGGACAATGGCACGGGGTTTTGATCTTACTTCATGTTCTGGTTTTGTGGGAGCCTGACCAGTTTGGATGTTCACCTTCCTAGACCTGGATGGAGGGAAGAGGACCTTGGATTTTCCACGGGGCAGGGACCCCTGACTGCTCTTCAGACTGGAGAGGGAGGAGGAGAAAAGTGGGGGGAGGGGGAGAGAGGCGGGAGGAGGGGGAGGGAAATGGGAGGCTGGGAGGAAGCGGAATTTTTTTTTCTTTTCAATAAAAAAATAAAATAAAATAAATAATTATTAAATTAAAAAAGTAAATTTACATATATTTCTGTAGGTTTGATTATCATAAAGAGATTCAAATCTCTTATAGCTGAAAGTTATATGCAGACATACTTCTATATATTAAAAACAATAAGAAGCAATGTAACAGACTCACTTTTCTTTCTTTTTCAGATTTGAACAGAGGATATGGCATCAGGAAATCATTGTACAGTGGATGAGTTTATCCTAACTGGGCTCTCAAAGAATTCAGGTCTCCAGCTGCCTCTCTTCCTCCTCTTCCTAGGAATCTATGTGGTCACTGTGGTGGGGAATCTGGGCATGATCACCCTGATTGGGCTCAGTTCCTACTTGCACACACCAATGTACTATTTCCTCAGCAGTCTGTCCTTCATTGATCTCTGTCATTCCACAGTTATTACCCCAAAAATGTTGGTGAACTTTGTGAAAGTGAAAAACATCATCTCCTATCCCGGATGCATGACTCAGCTCTACTTCTTCCTCATTTTTGCCATTGCAGAGTGTCACATGTTGGCTGCAATGGCATATGACCGCTATGTTGCCATCTGTAACCCCTTGCTTTACAATGTAACCATGTCCCATCAGACTTACAGTTCCCTGATTTCAGGGGTGTATATTATTGATGTGGTTTGTGCATCAGCGCACACAGGCTTCATGATCAGAGTTGAGTTCTGTAACTTAGATGTGATCAACCACTATTTCTGTGATCTTCTTCCCCTCCTGAAGCTTGCTCACTCTAGCACTTATGTTAATGAGTTGTTGATACTATGTTTTGGTACTTTTAACATTGTTGTCCCAACGTTAACTATTCTTACTTCTTACATCTTCATCATTGCCAGCATCCTCTCCATTAGTTCTACTGAGGGCAGGTGTAAAGCCTTCAGCACCTGCAGCTCCCACATCTCTGCTGTTACTGTGTTCTTTGGTTCGGCTGCATTCATGTACTTACAGCCATCCTCAGTCAACTCCATGGAACAAGGGAAAGTGTCATCTGTGTTTTATACCATTGTTGTGCCCATGCTGAACCCCTTAATCTACAGCCTAAGGAATAAGGATGTCAGTGTTGCCCTGAAGAAAATACTAAACAGAAAATCGTTCATGTAAACTAAACTAAGATTTATCTATTAGTATAGAAACATCAGCTGAGAGATGGTTTGACCACATATTGCTCATTTTAATCCAGTTATTAATATTTAAACACTAATAACTTTTTATTATATTGCGTTTTGATAATTGTCCATTATTATTTTTTCTTTATGTTTTTCTTTCTTTCTTTCTTTTTTTGTTTGTTTTTCAACACAGGGTTTCTCTGTAGCTCTGGGGACTGTTCTGGAGCTAACTCTTATAAAGCAGGCTGGCTTTCAACTCACAGAAATCTGTCTGCCTCTGCGATCTGAGTGCTGTAATTAAAGGCAGCACCTCTGCCTGGCCAAACATATTACTATTTGATATATAAAAGTTATTATATTTACATCATAGAGACTCTAGTAAACAAAATACTGAGGATGGCATCAACTATTTACCTGATGTGAACCCCATCAACTTTACATCTCTTTGTACAGTTGGTTATGAAATTTTTCTTTCTCATTTTCAATAAAAGGATATGATTTTATATGTTTTTTCATTTAAGTATAAATATGTGTAAAGATATAGTACTTAGAAATATAATGCTTATAATATATAGTCTGGAAATCTCTACTCTGTAAAAGTCCACTTGCTGGCCTATTCTTCAATGGATATTATGTGTTTTTTTTAATATATATTATTTCAGACACATGATTTCAATTTTCAAAATTTTTATATATACTTCTATATGTTGAGCTTGTTCCAGAATCCTTGTGGTTTCTCCATTGATCATTTGAGTTTGTACTTCTGAGATCTAGTCAAACTCATTGTGACTAATACAACTAAGCAGAAATTACTGTTTGTAAAGCTTTTGCTGTCCCCGTGCTAGAATGGTTTGTCAAATTTAATATACCCTTAATGATTTCCTTATTCTTTCATGAAATATTTAGATATGCTTCTGATATTTTACTTTGCCCATTTATTAATGGTTTGATATCACTACAAAGAGCTACCACTATATTTAAACTAGATTTAGTTCAGTAAAATTTTGTTAATAATTTTTTTAAAGTTCATTTGTATGCATGTTTTAAGGATACATTAAATAGTAAAGACATTTTGATATTTTTACATAAAATTTAAAAGGTTTAGTCGTGGGCAGAATTTCTCTGGCAAACAGGTCCAATTGAGATAATGTATGAATTAATAATCTGAATTGATTAAAACCTGTTCATAAAGAAGTCTTTAAAGTAATACTTAGTTTTTCTTGGTTATCAAGTTTGTAAACTTAAAAACAGCTAAGTTTTATACTTAATGATCAACAATGTAAATTTGTGGAATAGTGTTAATTACAACAACACAAACCTTTATACTCCTGAAAATTATACCAAAAGTAGAACATAATTCCACTGTGACAATATCAGGAAAACTTGTTGTGCATATTCAGTGACATATATGTAAAATAAACTGGAATAAACGTGGCAGGAAGCAGAAAAACACTAAATTATTAAAAAGCACAGATCAAGGACATATATTTTACACTTGATCTTATCTATTTATCATCTATCTATTTATTATTTATTTATATACTTACTTATTTTTGGTGGGACTAGCTAAATACATAGATTATTCTCCAGTTAGTCTACTATTTTTATTCACAGGCTTTTAGGTCCTCCATATTAAGGTTTCCCAGGACCTTAGTTGAAGGAGAGAGAGATAAACAAAATGCTCACAGCTCTAGAGACTGACATTGGAGACTCTGAAACTATGCTATGTGTCAAATTTAGCACAGCTTATAGTTGAATCTCACTGTAACAGCATATGTCTAAGCATTCATGATCTCTGTGGATCTAAGATTAAGGCAATTATCATTTCAACCTATTATGCATTGGTGGAAATAACATACTCAACTACAATAATATATATGTATATAAATTAACGATATTAGTAAAAATAATTAAAAATAAGATGTAAATCAAGAGCCCTACACGTCTTAAAAATGGGATATGCAGAATTCTTGGAGATAGGCACTATATATTTGTGTAAAATACCACTAACTTTTAATTGTTTCTACTATTACCCACATAATACTTTAAGATTTTTTTGAAACTTATAGAATTTCTAATATCTCACATAAGTTACTGACTTACTAAATATGCACATTAGTGCAATTGTTTCCTGAATTATGAGACTATGCAAATTAGTACCAACATTTTATTAAGTTTTTTAGAACATTAATCTGGTGCACAGTATTGAATGGCATAAAGTATTAATTATCTTTTATAGGATAATTTTTAATATGAGAACATAATATTTTGTTGCTTATAGAAGAAAATTAAGGAACAAATTAGGAAAACAAAATAAATTTATCATCATAGAAGATAATTAAGCCAGTTTTACAAAGATTTTTTTTTAATTAATTTGTTTATTTAAGGATTTCTGCCTCCTACCCGCCACCGCCACCGCCACCGGACAGAAATTTCAAGGTCCAAATCAGGAGCAGAAGGAGAGGGAGCACGAGCAAGGAACTCAGGACCGCGAGAGGTACACCCACACACTGAGACAATGGGGATGTTATATCGGGAACTCACCAAGGCCAGCTGGCATGGGATAAAACCGGACTAGCTGAACATAGCAGACAATGAGGACTACTGAGAACTCAAGAACAATGGCAGTGGGTTTTTGATCCTACTGCACGTACTGGCTTTGCGGGAGCCTAGGCAGTTTGGATGCTCACCTTATTAGACCTGGATAGAGGTGGGTGGTCCTTGGGCTTCCCACACGTCAGGAAACCCTGATTGCTCTACAAAGATTTTAATAGTTTGAGAATTTGGATTGCTCTGGTTTTTCACTATTCAAGTCATAAAATAACTCATCTTCTTTTTTTTGGTGCTGATATATTATTTATTAAAATTGCTTCTTTCTTTCTTTTTTTTATTAAGAAAAGAAGAAAAAAACATAAACAAAAACAAGTTTCCACCTCCTCCCAGCCTCCCATTTCCCTCCCCCTCCTCCCACCCTTCTCCCCCTCCTCCCACCCTTCTCCCCCTCCTCCCACCCTTCTCCCCCTCCCCCCACTCCTCTCCCCCTCCCTCTCCAGTCCACAGAGCAGTCCAGGTTCCCTGCCCTGTGGTAAGTCCTAGGTCCTCCCCCCTCATCCATATCTAGGAAGGTGAACATCCAAACTGGCTAGGCTCCCACAAAGCCAGCACATTAAGTAGGATCAAAACCCCGTGCCATTGTCCTTGACGTCTCATCAGCCCTCATTGTTCGGCATGTTCAGAGAGTCCGGTTTTATCCCATGCTTTTTCGGTCACAGTCCAGCTGGCCTTGGTGAGCTCCCAGTAGATCAGCTCCTACTAATGGTGCCCATTATCCCCTTTATTTAGATCATTCTCTTATTTTTCTGGGATTTTGTAAATTAGGAGCAAGCGAAAGTCATTTTTATTCTTGGGATACTGTTAACAATAGTTTTGCAATCTATTAAGTACTGAATAGATTTTTTTCTTTTATTTTTATAAAAAAGACCACAAACTATTATATATACCAATTCCAGTTCCCACTTTCTCCCCTCCTCCCATTCCTTCTATCTTCCTACCACCCCACCCCCATCCACTCCTCAGAAAGGATAAGGCACATGATTTTGAGGAAGATCTAAGGCCTACTACTGTATCTAGGCTGAGCAAGTTATCCATCCAAAGAGAATGGGTTCCAAAAAGCCAGTACAAGCAGTAGGAATAGGCCTTGGTGCCACTGCCAGTGGCCCCACAGTCTGCCCTGGCCATACAACTGTCACCCACATTCAGAGTATCTAGCTTGGTCCTATGCTTTTTCCTCCCCTGTCCGGCTAGAGTTGGTGAACTCAGGTAAATTCTTTCGGTGGATGTACCCATCATGGTCTTGACCTCTTTGCTCAAATTTTCATGCCTCCCACTCTACAGCTGGACCCTTGGAGCTCAACCCAGAGCTCTACTGTGTGTCCCTGCCCCTGTTTCCATCAATCTAACCAATCTGTCAAGACCAGTTCAGGTACCCTCTTTATTATTGCTTAGGGCTTTGGCTGGAGTCATCCGTGCGGATTCCTGGGAATTTCTTAGATTTATATTTTTAAATCATTAAACATATAATGAACAAGATATAACTCATCATCAAAGGCACTGGACTCCTCAGTGTGTGACCTTTCTATTGTATTAGCTAGAGGTTCCTAAGAACTATATAAAATCTCACACTCATCCACATCTACTGGATCAGAGTAAGCATTTTAACTAAGATAGTTAGTGATCCACCTACTCAAAAATCTTTAATAGGATGTGAGAGATTAGAAATGACAAGGACCAATTTGAAAAATAACTAGGCAGATAGGGAGTTTGTATATATAATTACTTATTTTTCTTATGAGCATGTTTCTTGAATAATGAGAGTCCACAGGGAATGCTTATTTGCTGACAGACAGTACCTGAAGAGGATAAACTCATCTAAGTGCTTCACAGCTTTTCTAGTTACGGTACATGTGAAATATAATCTGCAGAGGCATAAACTTAGTGATCCTGAAAGATGCTGGCAAGAGATACAGACCTGGCTCACAGGTACTGTTGCCATTGAAGACTTGGTCTGGGTTTCCCAATACTAACTGTAGAATGAGGGAAACATGCTTCTCCCAATTCTAAGATCAGTGCCATTTGCGATTGGCAAATAAACTTGAAATAGGAAATTGGAGCAGAAGTAAGGTGAGTGTGTTGGTCTCCTATTACCACACAGGTCATTTAGGATTCTGATGTCTGGAGTAATACCTGTCTTAAGTCAGGCAGAATCTTATTCTTCACTTACTGCTGAAAGAAACTTTATAAACCTGCATTGTGGCAAACTTGTATTTCTAGAGAAATAGGCAAATAAGTCCAACTTGTCATTTGGTTAGTAGGGTAGCTGACAGACCAAGAAGCAAGTGTGCAGTTCAGAACACTTACAACACTCTGAGCAGGTTATAGGAAGGATGAATTTAATGCACAATTATGGAGAATCATCCCGTGTCAACCATAGCTTTA